TATTTTGCATAACTGCTTAATTTTATAAATATTTTATTTAATGAATTTTATCCTAAATGTATCAATCACTGTTATCCAATTAGTTTGGAGAGCCCCTCGACAGAAACTTTCTTCTTTTGGGTAATCCTGCGGGAGCTTTTTGGCTGTTGTTTTCTGTTATGTTTTCTGTTATGTTTACTACTCAGTGTTATTTGTACATGTAATTGTTTTGTCTATGATTCACTGTTTGTAATATCCCGGAAAACGAAATAAATAAATAAATAAATAAATAAATAAAAAGGCAAAACGTGTCATTTAATTTTGAATGAGACATCAAAACACGAATCAACGAATGTTGAGTTTTATTTACAAATATCGCTGTACGTCACAGTGTTTCCTTGACAAATATGTTACTATGCAACTGCTATGGACAGTGTTTGAGAAATCTGTGTGATCTTAAGAAAGGCAGTGATTTTTTAGGCGGTCCTGCCTATCAGCCATGTCAACTAAATCAGCTTCGCTCGGATGTTAGGAACAAGTCTTCCCATTGGTGGTGGAATTTTGTCTTCATGACGATCTAACTGTCTATCATGCGCTTTTGACAAGGTTCCCATTTGGTGATGAGCCAATCCTTTTTGCGCCAGGGATCGTTTGGAGTTGTTGGCGGCTGTTTACTGTGCACCCAGTTGACCTGGCCCTAAAAATGTAGATGTGAAATGGCCGGGTTCATTGTTGGTATCACATATATTATTTCAGAATTCTGCAAGATATAAAAGTATCTGCTTTATTTTCTGCTTGTGGACCCCCCCCCCCAAAAAAAAAACCTCCAAAATGAACATCCATGATGTGGCATGGATTTAATATTATGTACAAATTTAGCGCATTTGTATGGGAATGTATGCTGTACAAAATGTCCACTGTATTTTTATTTTGTCTGCACCATCAACATTCATAGTTCAGTCAAATTTTGCATACGTGCCAAAAAGTGGTTCACTGGAGGTAGACATGAGGAACAGAACCTGTAACAAACGCGATTTTTTTTTATAAAAAAATATTAAACCCAAACTTTCCAAACACAATTTGTTTATATAAAAAAAGAGAATGTATTATTTCTTATTAATAAAATACATAGCAGGAGTAGTAGTGACTAGTTGTGAGGATTTATAAATGCCCCATCTTGTTCACATTATGTTATTATGCTAGAGAATACTCTTGAAGAGACTCTTGTACTCCAACTCAGTCCGTATTAAATAAAACTACAGCCAGCCTGGGCTACAGCATACAGCTTGTTGAACCTGTCTTGCAGTGTGATGGAAATTGGAGTCACCGTTACTACAAGTTAAACTTGTTACTAAAACCAAATTATCACCAGCACCATCGGGATTTGAGAAGGAAATTTGATTCATCCATGTTGTCCCAGCTGTACAGTGTATTATACCAAGGAACAGGACGCAAAAATTGTCCCCTTTTATAATTTATCGTTACTTATTGATGAAATAATTACTCATTCTGTACGTCAAGAATGTGTGCATTCTGCAGACTGTACTGTAGTTGTGTTTCCCTATCAATGCCTTGTGAAGTAGTATGCAGATCCGACTGTTTTTATTGCATGTTTAAGGGGAAATCTCGAGCCGTGCAACACTAAATATGGCTGTTTCATGTGTTATTTTCTTGAAACATTTTGCTGCTTGGCCCTTTTAATAATAATAATAATAATAATAATAACATTTATAAAGCGCCTTTTCCTAGGGTTACAAAGCGCTCAGAAAATGACCCCCAAAATACAACAATGACAAGGATAAAATAATGAAAAACCAAATGGAAAAGCCACTGTCAGGCCCAGCCTGTGGCACTCAGACAAGAGAGCCTGGCAATAGCATCGCAGGGGAGACCGAAGAGTGCAGGGGCTCGCGGGCACGCGTGGGCCGGGTCTGACAAGGTAGTTACAGAAGTATGTCTTTAATGACCTATTAAACTTGGCCAAGGAACTAGAATTTTCGATGGAAATTCCACATCCTAGGGCCTGCGATTGAAAATACTCTGTCACCTGATTTTCTGGTGGTTCAGGGAATATAGAAGTTACCCTGAGAAAGTAAGTTGCCCTTCACTGTGCCTAATGAATTGGAAATGTACATGGGGAAAATTCTGGAAATGCAGTTATACATGTTCAAGGCCGTTTAATACATCATTCGTTTCTCTATTGGGAGCCAGTGCAGCTTTTCTTACAGTGGAGAAGTGGGAACATGTTTTGGGTAGAAAAAAGATAACACGAGATGCTCTATTTGGATTTTTTTGTAACTTGACAAAGTCAGATTGTTGAGACCATTTAACAGGGAGTTACAGCAGTCCAATCTTGACAGTACAAGTGCCTGGACAGCAGGGCGACATGCAGGCTTCAGCATCAATGTACTT